AAAAAGGAATATATATAAATTTAGCTCTCAGAGGCATGTTAAGACATCGCATGCAGATAATTGAGTGCCTATAGAGTTGAAGGCAACCTCACTTCTTATTGCTCCGACTCGCGCTTGAGCAGGTCTTTGTGAATTTCTGGTATGACGACATCACAGCCCTCTACCTTTACAACTGCAAAAAAAACTAAAAGAACAAAGTGGAGGGGGAAAAAATGGACTCTGAACGTTACATCGAGTGAGGTTCTGTCAAGACTGGAAGTATTTGGACAGTTGCACATTCAGGTTGTTCAGGACCTCGGCACGTTTAGTTTGAGGTAAAATAATGAATAAACAAGTGCCGTGTCCCGGCTTTAATTAGATGATGTTTGCATCAATATCGAAACTGAATACACTGAAGCAAAGAGCCCAGAACAAAAAATGTGTAACTGTCCAAATTCTCCAAAATCAATATGTGACTGATACCACTGCCATGCTGTGAAATGTGATTTTATACAAATGATGTAGCCTATAACAGAAACCCTGACACCGCTTCCTCTGTGCTTTTACTGACTCCATGCTCCATCTAATGATGTAGGCTACTGCAGCACTCAGTGTGACCAGCATGACTTTCTCACATCTTCATTCAGAGTCTTAGTCCCACTCCACGTGTGAATACGTTGTATAAGCGGTGTATATTTACTGTGTAAGATATGTTACATATGTCGTAGGCTTGTAGCTGAGCATTTTGCACTGTGTATCACTTTATTGTAGCCAAAGTGGCATTACTTCCTGTGTGGTCCTTTGTACGCGGTGATGGCGTCATCAGTACTTTGTTCATCCCCAGGCATCAATAAAAAAAAAGATGTGGATATACAGTACTGCTTTGTATTTTTGGCGGTTTGTCATGTATTTTGTTCTCGTCATCGGCCTCCAACATGATCCTCGAGGACAAAATACTGTAGTATCATTAACTCTGCTGAGGAGGTTATGTTTTGACCCCTGTCTGTTTGGTTGGTTGTTTGGTTTGTTGGCAAGATTATACAAAAACAACTGAATGGATTTCCACGAAACCTTGGAAGGAAGGATGGTGTCACAGAAGAACCCATTAAACTTTGGTGTAGGTCCGGATCAGAGGCCAGGTCCAGGATTTGGTTTTTACTTTCTTTAACGTTTTTCAACATTTTCACCTTTGTCCCAGGGATTAATTCATGGATCTTGATGAAAATAATCAGGCACATTATGCTAAACACAAGCTGCGTGGGCCTCTCTGAGGAGGGAAGTAGTGATTGTAGAGTGTTGTCACTCGGTGGCACTACTTCAAGCAAATTTGTCTCCCATCATGCACTGAGAATACAGACACTGAGGGTGATTATAATAAAAACAAGAATTCTGTGTCTCTATCTGCATCACATATATTTAAGGCTCAAACAGCTCGATGAAAGAAACGTCAGTGTGCGTGTGTAAAAGAACATAAGGCCCTAGTAATAAGTAATAATCATGATTTTTAAGGTGGTAGTATAATGGTGGAGGGTAAATCTGAAATTCAATCGAGTTTTATCCCAACATGCACCTCTCATCATGTGTGTGTTTAATATAATGAACAAAGTTTCAGTAAATCAAATATCACCCTTGAAAAATGAGGGTGTTTACGTGCACAGGGATGCGGCCAAATGTTTTCTACAGGAAATGTAAGTTGGTCTACACCTTCTTGACTTTGGCGTGCCTCCATAGATATAGATTGTCCCTAAGCTATCTGGACCAAAGCCTGAACCAATTACAGCGTTTGCACCAGGAGCCAGTTGAATGTTTTTCCAAGTAATATTATTCAAGCTGCACCTCGCTCGGCACCAGTCAGCACTCTCTCTCTTTTTCTTACTTTTCTCTCATATTCTTCATTCCTCCAACAAACTATGACAAATACATACAATAAGTTTACACACATGAATACTGTTTCTCTCCTTAAATGCTGTTTGCATAGTACGTGGAAGTGGCTTTTTAAACCTCACATGACTGTCATTTGATTGAAAAGTCATGCGTCTGCAGAACTCTGCTGGTCAGGCGGCCTCCATTATCCTCCACCCTGTTTGTTTGAGAGAGGCTCCACTCAGATGGGACATCCACAGGCTCAGTAAGAGGCCACCAACAAATACTCTTTGTGTTTGGAACAAGGTTAAATTATGAATAGATTGAAAAGAGTCTCTATAAGCAAAAACATTTACGTGTGATTCACTAAACCTGAAATTGACTGCACGGGTACAGTTACCCAAGCAACAGATTTGTTGATTTAAAAGAAATAAAAAAAGCTGTAAACAAACAAAATACAAAGTTAATGTAAAGTATATTCAAAGTATTCGATATATTATTTTAAACTAGAAAATGTGTTTGTTTGTTTTTTGTTTAAAAGGCATGGGAGCTTCATTTATGAAGCACATTCATACATAGAGGTAGATTCACAGAGCTGTTAGTGGACATAAAAAAACAGACGAAATTAAAAAAAAAATCTATTTAAAATTATAAAGCACAGTTTGAAATGATTTTAAGCAAAACAAGAGTTACAAGTAAAAGTGTGTAAAATGATAATGTAAAAAAAGAATAAGTAAAATGATGGTTTGGTGTTAAATTGTTAAGTTAAAGGCTCTCGTGAATAAAAATGTTTTTGGGGATTTTAAAAATATTTCCTTGTACATGCATGTTAGTGGACGACCCTCTTTCCCCTCAGCCCTGCATCCTGTAGAGATGAACCATTAACCACTAAACTTGAACATGTTATTGGTTTTTAAGTTGATTAAATAAAATGTAAAGCTGCATTTGCATTTAGAAACAGGCTTATTCAAAATGCCAGTTTGCTTTCAGGGAAGTATTCACTGTTTCAAAACTTTAAAATATGTAAATCTAGTTTTCTATGGGATCCAATGGCCCTATTTCTTTCTCAATTATGCCCACAAGTAATCACAAAACATTGTGCGATAAGGTTCAAGATTCTTTATTGAGAGATAATACAGGTAGATTGGTGAAATTATCATATACACATTTTAAAACATTGAAAGACTTACTGGTTTGTTACTGAGGTCCACATATAGAGGAATCAAAATACATAGAAGAAACAGCATAAGTTCTTATACTGAGTGGAAAAATATCCCACACATCCATATAACTACTCATTTATTATAAAACTACTAGTAGTACTAATACCAGTGTTAGATATCAGGACATCCTGTGAGGAGACACATTATACTGATACATGTTTGCATTAAAAATAAAATCTGACACTTTCTGCTTGACACATCCTACTCTGACATACTTAGGTCCAACCACTAAGGGTCAGGACTGAGACCTTTTCTGATCCTGGTCAGACGGACCTCCTCCATCAGCTCTTTGAGGTACTTGATCTCCCTGGCCATGGATTCAGCTTTCTCCTTCAGCTCCATGTTCTTCCTCTCCAGAAGCGAATGCTCCGAGGAGAGCGCGTCCTGCTCAGACCTCTTCTTCTTCCTGTAACGTGTGGCGGCCGTCTTATTCTGTGCCATCTTCTTCAGCTTCTTGTCCTTCGGAGCCTTCAGAGTTATCCTGTCATCGTCTTCATCATCGTCTTCATCATCATCATCATAATCAGCTGCACCACAGAGGGACTTGACTTTGACAGTGGTTACATCAGGAGAGGGTGGACTGGCTTTGTATTTGGGCTCAGGGTATGGTCTGCTTCTAGACCACCTTTGTGGAGGGGAGGCGGGAGGGGACAAGTGAATGACCTCTGGAGTGGTGGTTACAGTAGTAGTGGTGATTCCAATTTCATTTTTGGGGGCCAGCACAAGGATGAGGTGCGCTGGTGCAAATACAAATCCCTGGACCTGAGGGACGACAGCAGCTAATACTGGCTTCACCTCAGTCTCCAAGACATCCACCTCACTGCCCAGGTCCAGGGTGTCGACTGGTGAGGAAGGAGAATCAACCATGGGGGTGGGTGGGTCCGGAGAAGCTGGCTCAGATTTGATTTCGAGCTCCTCTTGTGGCTCTGGGACACACGGGGGAGGAGAGGGGGCCTCCTGCCCAGAGGTGTAGATGACTGAAGCTTCTTCACAGACTGTGGGGAGGGTGGTGGGAGGGGAACTTGGAGGAAAGAGAACAGGAGTTGAGAGAGTGGGCACTGGGAGGGAGTCGAGCTCCATGGGGCAACCTAGGGAGGCCAGCAGGTCTTCTGTGGAGCTGTTGGACTCTTCAGGAGGACTGCAGGAGCCAATCAGAGAATCCAGGTCAAACTCGCTCAGATCCATCTTCTCCGCCATCCAGTCCAGGGCACCGAGCGGATCCTCTGCAGGAGCAAAGGAGACACTCCGTTACACCAAGTATTCCAAAGATGTTATCAAAAGTGATACAAATAAAAGAGATCATTACCTTTCCTGTCACCCGAGACCATTTCGCATCTCAGCTGATCAGGGTGCTCCAACCAGGGGAGGGTGAGCAGGTCAGAATCATTCCCAGCTTTGACCCCGTGGAGGAGGGCGGCGGGCGGCGAGGAGGGAGGAGAGTAGAAGTTAGGAGGAGAGGGCATTGAGGAGGTGGGGTACGACACGAGTGAAGTGTCCCCCTCTGGTGAGTTCCCTCCTCCTTCCTGATTCTCTTCTTGGTCAGGGTGAAAGAACATGCCCATGGCGTCAGCCGTGGGAGAGGAAGGCCCCCAGAGAAGGGCCTCCATGTCTTCCGGGCCAAACAGTGAGTTTGTCATCGTCATGGTCATAGTGGCTGTTGTTGGTCACGAACGGGCTGCGTGATGATGCTAGGAGAGCGTCGAAGAGTTTTATGCTGTCGAATGCAGCAGAGCTGAGGGTTTCCACATGGGACCTGAGGACAAGGGACAGAATAAAGACGTCTGTGGTGAAAATATGAAACCTGAACATCATAAACACATAATTTAAACCGTCAGGACGACTTAAGACTCGTATGAATGAAATGATTCTGATCTCAGGCCACAAAAATTATACTGAAGGAAAATCAGTTGAAAGTTGATTTGAGTGATACAGAGTGGAGAGTTAACTTTTGCCCGACACTAGAGGCATCCTCTGCTGTTTTGACTCAACGGCGCCTCCATCCCTCCAGTGCGGCTCACTGCACGTCACGTGTTTCCCATCAGCTGATCACTGTGTCACGAGTGAGATGAGGTCACCGGGTCCGCCTCCCTGCCTCCCCCCCTCCCCCCCTCCCTCCCTGACAGCCTCACTTTGTTCTCCCTCCGCCATTTTAACCCACAGGACAGTTTCTCCTCGCCACGTTGCCACCGAGGACTCAGTCGTCATAACAACACTCCCGATTGATTAAAGTGTCGCAAACCGTCCGAGGACGACACGCGACCGACGACACTTGAGCGCGTGAAACAAAATGTATCATTACACGTCTCGTGTCCTTTGTTGCGTCATTACCCCTTAAAGACACGCCCTTGTGTTTTTAAATCAATCATAAATTGTTACATCATCGATACTCGACAACATCACAACAAGTGGAATGAACATTTGTAAACAGAACACTTGTTAAAGATTCTAAATCGAATTAAAAAAAGATGGCGCTCGCCGGAATGTGAGGCCTCTGGAGCGCGCGCGCGCGCGGCCTCGGCACATCTGGCAGCTGTCATTCTCTAACATGTGGACTTACGACATGTTTGCTGAATCGGAGGAGACTCAGTGCACTGGTTGGATGCACTGTGTTGGTGGGAGCGGCTGCTGCTGGTCACACTCTTACGCTGCCATGTCGGCCGACAGGAGGGTGTCCGTGGGTTCGATGCTGCTGTGTTGATGGTCTGAGCGGAAAGTGACGCGCGTGGTGCTGCGGCGCTGCTTAATGAGCCTCAGCGTGGAGCGGAGGTGTCCTTCCGCCGCGCTCAACTTATCACTCCGCCGAATGTGCGTCATCCACATTCCTGGCATCCGCCCTATTTAAAGAACAAACCACACTCAAACATAGACTGTGTATGAAGAGCATGTAACTGTGTTTACAATTCTATATAACATGGTGGTATACACATTATTATTATTATGTGAGATTATGAGAATGAATAAAGTATCTATCTTTTATTATTATTATACAGATTATTGTGATCATAAATATCATTTGTAGTGTTGTATTGTACCAAATTATTATTATTTTATTAATCTTATTATTATTTTATGAATATTGTTGTTGTTGTTGTTATGACTATGATGGTTATTATTGTCTTTGTTATTAATATTATTATCAGTATAATTATCATAAGGATTCTTATTAGGATTATTGTCATTATTATTATTGCTGTTGTCATTTTAATATTTTTATTTGACCTCATGTACAATGCAGCCAAGTGCAGGGAATAAACAAAACATTCCAAGACACCAAGAGGAAACCGAGATTAAATGTAAAAGCTTTACACCAGATTGATTTTTATTTCAAAGTAAATTGATCAATGGTGAAACATTCTCAGCAAGAGTGAAGGAAAGTTACCCAGTGTGAAAACCAGTGTGGAGCAGTGTCAGGGCTGCAGCTGATGTATGAAACTTCATCATAATCTACCACAGAGAGGAAAGCTGTCTTCCTGCAGTGCTGAGGGAAAAAGGCTTTGCAGAAGGAGCTGGTTTTCTTCATTTACCTGTGGGACTCGGACACAGTACTTTTGATTAAAACAAGGTTTATTTGAATTTATAACAGTGATTTCCACTAATTCTTCCACTTTATATACCACAGTCATGGATGAGAGTCAAACTAAAGTCTTAAAATACCTTTAAATACAAGAAATAAATCACATGTAGAGTTTAACAAGTATATTCTTTATTAAAACATATGTGACCAATAAAGAGTAAAATTGTGCAGTGAGGTTTGATCTATATTGCTTGTTACAAACACACACACAAACATACACACACACACACACACACACACACAAAATACTTCTAAATATCTCAGGATAAATAAGTGGCGCCACACACGTAGAGGACACAGGCGAAGATGTCCAGAGAGTGTTTGGTGACAAGGGCCGATGACAACGCATGATCTCAGCAGCAGGATTAAAACGTTGCATCCTTCCTCTGCCCGCTGTGCTCCAGACACTTCTGTGTGGCTCTGGACACGTCTGAGTGGAGAATCTCCTGCAGCATTGTTCATGTGTGGAAAGGAAAATGCAGAGGAAGTCTAGACTCCATTCTGCAGACATCCTCCAGAGTTCATGTCAGAAAATGTCTAAGGACTTTTCTGATTCAGCTAAACATTTCCCACATGTGATTCAGGTATTCCAGTTGATCCTGCAGGTTCCCAGCCAGCAGCCGAACCCTCCCTGAGAACCGGCTCTTGTTGGACTTCTTCAGCCTCTGACCATCCTCCTCTGTGAAATACTGATCCAGCTCCTTAGCGAAAGCCAGGAGCAGCCTCTCAGATGAAGGGTGTGCAGCTGAAGTCCTCCTGCCTTTGCTTATGCTATTGTTAATCACAGACTGCGAAAGATGCGCCATCTTCAGCGCGTCAGGCTCGGCTCCTGCCCTCTGTATCCTGCCGATGTCGTGCCGCCGCAGCTCATTCATCCCAGAGAGAATAAAATCCAGACACCGCTCCACGTCCACGATATCTGATTTATATTCGTACACTAGTTTCTCAACTTTCATCTTGTTCACAGTCTTCTTGTTGGCATTGGCAGTGTGGGCGCCCATACCCCCGGCGGAGGCCACCATGCCGGCGCCAACAGCTGTAGCGATCAGCGAGGCCCCCATGGTCACAGGAGCCAAAGCGATGCCCAGCACAGCAGTCATCCCTCCCACGGCGCCCGTGGTGCCTCCAGCGATGCCCATGGTTTTGGCCATCTTCTTCATCTTGTCCAGGCAGTTGGAGATGGAGATGAACTCAGTGATGACGTTGCGCAGGGTCTCGTTGCGCTTCATCAGGAGGAGGTTGTAGAGGCGCAGGGCCTTGCTCACGTCCCTGGCTCTCTGATCGAATGACCTGCACAGTGACACAGCATGAATGAGCTTGTTTATCCAGCTCATTTCAATCCATCTTAACATGAACATCCAACTGACACACTCTGAAGCACTATTTCCTCAGAGCAGATGAAATTCGCTTTACTTTCTAGAAAATGTTCAACATGAAACTAGAAGGAGGAGTCGATATGATAGATTCCATCATGTTACCTGATTTCCTCTTCTATACTGAGGCCGTACAGTGATGGAGTCATGTAATTAGATTCTGTAGGAACATAATCGTTCATCAGTAACACATGAGTTTAAAATCACACACACCAAAGTTTGCTGCTACACAGCGACAATATTCATCTAGAAATTAAAGTGTGTACTTACTGGACACTCTTGTCAACCATCTCAACATCCCAATGATGTCCTGAGGAACACAAATCATTTTCTGGTCAAAAACTCACTCACTTTTTAGCTCTGGTTTTCCTTCGCAGACACCACTATGAACCAGATTAAGACATTAGTCTGAATAAGACACTGCTCTCTGAATCTGAATCCCCAGAAAAATAATAAGGGGTTTAAGCTTTTGCAAATTTAAAAAGAAAATGATCAACCTAAAAGCAATTTTCTGTGTTTACATAATCGTTTCCCAACATCTCAGTTTCTGTCTATCCAGACTTAAACGCAGCCCTGGAGTTTTAAAACTAAAACGGGACCAGAAGCATTTTCAAACGTTAGCATGTTTAAAGCTAAAACTTTGGTAAATCCAACAATCTAAGAATCAGTGCTAAAATCTGTTTGGTTTGCAGGGAGGGGGGGGTTAAGTACTTCTAGTCTCAGTGAAGTCTTACGTCCTTGTCCCCTGACGTCTGATGGCCTGTAGCGAAGCAGCGACTCTGGTAGCGTAGTCCTGAACCAGGCGTGGACTTCCTGTGTATCTGGTGAGGTTTCATGGAAAAAGATTTTTAAAAAATACAACACACCACTGCTTCAACCCACAGATGTATTTCTACTCAGAATGTAGCTCTTTGTGTGTATCTGTGCGTTTGTGTGTGTTTGTGTTTAGTGTCTCTCTCACCAGGTTGTCTTCGTCCTCCGGCAGAACGTCCAGGTAGGGACGAGTCTCTATCTCACTGTACAATGACTCTGAGGGTGTCCCTTCAAAAGCTGGTGGTGATGGTGGGTTGAATGAAGGAGGAGGTGGTCGGGTCTGTTGAGGACAAATAAATTATCTTTTAAATCAACTGCACAAAGATCTGAAGATTATTACAGTTTTTTGACAAATAAGCAGGAAACAGAAAATAACTGATTACTATTACTATTATTATTATTAGTAGTAGTAGTAGTAGTAGTAGTATCGCTATTATTATTATTATTGTTATTATTATGATCATCCATCCTTTTTCTTCTGCTTCTCCGAGATCGTGTTGTGGAGGCAGCCGTTAAAACATGATGTTCATCCAACATCCGTCACCCCAGCCATTTTCTTACAGCTCTTCCTGGGGGATCCCCAGGCCTGATGGGATATATGGTCCCTTCCACCACTTTGAGGTCTGTCTTGGGAAGAGGGCAGGAGGACAGGAGGACAGGAGGACAGGAGCTCCAGCCTCTCACGCTAAATCTCTAAGGCTTAGCCAAGCCACCCAATGGAGTAAACATGCTTTGACCACCAACTGCATTCACAATCTCATTCTTTGGGTCTCTAACTAGAGTTCATGACCATAACTGAGGGTTGGAACATTGGAAAAGGACCTTAAGTAGTTGAGAAAATGGTTTGAAGTTAGGGTGTAAATATCTGTGTCTGTGTTACATGCTGACTGAACAGTGGTGAATGCATGGGGGGGGGGGTAAAAGTGTTACGTAGGTGATTTTCCATGACAGCGTGACAAATACATGTGTTTCTGCACCTTCTGTTGCCGTTTTGACATCTGTTTGTACGGCTCATTACCAGCAGGCCTGCAGTGTCTCTCATACCTGTAGAGACGAGGTGTCACACTCAGAGAAAGAGAGTGGGAGGGAGCGCTGACTGAGTCGAGGTGGAACTGCAGGTCGGCCTGTACCGCATGTCGCCTGAGAATCGAACACATGTCGCAATCTGATGTCACAACGCAGACAGAGCTGTGAATGTATGTCGTACATGTTTCACAGGGTCATGTTTCTGAGTTAGACAAAAGGTCTGAGTAAAGTTAGATAAACTGATATTATTCACTCAATTCACAGAAAACTTGTCAGTGATACGTAACAATTCAATTTACCATTTCACCATAAGTCCCACAGGGGAGCCCATCCTTCTCAGAGAAATATGACGAGTCTGGAGTTTGCTCTGTGGAGTTGGTTGTAGATTCTTGAGTTGATATTTCCTGTTCAACATAAACATTTAATATTTAGCATATAAAAGTGAGGGAAAGGTGAGTACGTGCATGGTGAAATAGTTTTGCGATACTACTCAGTGGAATGATGGTTCAAAGTCTGCTCCTGTTTGTAAGAAATACTGCATGTCAACCAAAGGTGGCCCGAATATGTTTAATGCTATTTGGGCCGTGTTCACAATTTACCACATGGGCTTCTTCAGGCTCATTTCAGTCAGGCCACAAGAAAGACAGAAATGCTGCATCATTGCCTGAACACATTCTTATCTTGCTTTTCTATCATCATATCAACCGCCCTCACATGTAACGTAAGGAAGTCGAATGAACTTACAGTGAAACGTACATCACTCCTTCAGCTCTTACCTTGGACTGTTTCTCCTTCAGAGACTGCGCTCTACCGTAATAGATGGCGGGAGGAGGGGGGCGCTCGGGACGAAGTCTTCTCTCAGTAACGATGGCTGGAGGCTACAGCCGGAGGAGAATCAGGAGGGACAGTAGGTCGAATTTATCACATACTGTTAGAAATATATATGTATATTAAAGTCGTAATGGAACAGTTGGACACTTTTGACTATTTATAGTTTCACTCTGGCAAGAAAAAACCCTGACGTCTCCATTATTGTTTGACAACTTGACAACACGATGACAAAACACGAGACAAACTTGTCTTGTCATAGCAGGAAATGTACAAGTGTGTGCAATAACTTCATACATTTCCCATTTCACCCCTTTGTCGTGTGTGTGGAAGGTATGAAGAGCTGGAGGGGGACATTGTTGCTCAGACCTTTATCGACATCGGTGTAATAAAGGCGAACTGGCGCGGCAGGATAGAAGCTGAAGCTTTTGTGTCACTCGTCATGAGTATGTAGAAACCAGGAACTGGCTCAGATAAATGGAACATGGCCATTGTTCATAGTGTCATTAATACCATGTGTGCTTTTCCTGCTTTGACAAGTCAAAGGAGAATTCAAACCATTCGTAATAAATCTCTAAGCACTTATATTGAACATGTTTTTTTAAGGAATATCTGTGAGTCGTGACTAAATCGTGACAAATCCTTCTGAAACCACATTTCAATTTATTAGATCCAGATTTTTATTGGGATCTACACCAAATTGCATGCACCTATAAATATCAGTCCCCTAAACATTTAATTTCAGAATAAATCTCCCTGAGAAATCAACGAAAATGTTGAAAGACGCCACATAACGTCTCACATAAAGAGAAATTGATAGATCTGTCGCCTGACTCACATGAAAATTTAACGGGTTCTTCCCATGGGTTCACGCTCAACCCCCCTACAAAATATCATGGAAATCAGATGAGTCATTTTTGTGTACTACTGTTAAAAACAGACAAATGCAGATGGAAACAAACTGCTCGTGGAGATAACGAATGTAATGCAACGTGGTAACAACTTAACATGGGGCCGTCGGCATAAATTATGATTATTATTGGGTTTGAAACATCATGTACCTTCACATTCGGCTCAGTTTTTAAACTCATGTATTGACTCTCTCTCTCTGGTGTGGATTTGCTGACGGCCAGAGGTGGTCTCGTAGGGGGACGCACAGGACGAGGCCTCTCTGCTGTAGCTTCACTGTGCTGGGAACTCTGTTAAAAAAGAATCAATGCTAAGTAACAGGTGCTATGGTGAGTTTATCATGTGTGGAAACGGTTCCTCTCACCACTTCATTGGCTGCGTCGCTAGTTTTGTCTGCAGGGTCAACAGTGCTGTCGGTTTTACTCGGGGCTCGTGGAAGCACTTTAGATCTCGGACGAGGGACGGGCCTGACTTTGACCTCGGACTGGTTTCCATCTGTGACATCAGGCTGACGAAAAAAATGAACATGTGAGCAGATCAACACCCGAATGTCTCAATTTCAAGTCATGCATTTAAATAGTGCTTATAAGTAATCTCTTTTTTTTTTACCGTGCTGCTGTTTGGGTCTAAGTAGGCCGGCTGTTGGGCGTCATACGAGCTGGTGATGACAGACTTCATCATGCAGCTTTTCCTGGGGGGTTTTGGCGGCTGTTGGGTTTAATGACGACAGTGTTCAACTCTAATATTAAAACTATTCGGACAAGAGCTTATTAAAGCTTTCGAACTTTATTGCAAAGCTATAGTCAACAGTCAACAGCATTTAACAGCTCAACACATAAACTGCCCCTCCACATGTTTGACTGAGTCATCACCACATATAAACCTGATTTAACCTTTGGATTTTAGATTCCCATCAACATTGTGCAGAGTTTAAGCACAGCACTAAAAATATTGAAGGTTTAAAACTGGATTTCAACACAGGAGCTCTCTTCAAACAGAATAACAGCAGAACGCAGCTGATCATGTTTGTACGGAGGCATATTACTGTCACGCCAGAAAAAAAAATCACGTTACAACATAAAGCATATGAGGTTATAGAATGATAACTAATTAACGTGACATACGAATGTGAACGTCACGTTATAATGTTGATACTTTTTCAGGCGTTGCAGCAAAAACGCTTCCATACATTGTTATGGTGCTTCAGTCGTGCCTTTTTTCAAATCTCTGTGTTTATTATATAAAGTGAGATCAGATCAGTTGACACGAAGTGAGATCAGATCCAGGTGACAACCGAACACTGGTTGTCATTTTCAGCAGGACACCAAGGTTCTAATTTTGTGAATGTTGGACTAGTTAATAATTGTTTCAAAAACACATTTTGTGCCCAAATCACAAAATATTGAAGCTGCTCATTATCAGACATGTTTATAACCTGACATCAAATATATCGAGGACAGAGACAGGATTGTAAATCATCATTTTCCTCTGAAGGTGGAAAAGATAAATTCCTACTGTAACATGTGATGCAAACACTGTTCACATACAAACATAAAAACATTTTAGTTTTCCTCTAAAATGGTTTGAAGGTGAAACCAGACAGAAGATGACCATGTCCTCCATATTTCACCATATTTCATCTCACATGACACAAACAACAAATTCGCCTCAACATCTGGACAGCTGTTTGAGCGGTGGGATGATTTTACATAGCTCAAACGAAGCACCATGTGTTCATGTGGTCATGTCACTGGTTTAACTTGTTGTTGGGTGTAGGTGCTCTGGTTGCATATCTTAGTCACGGCTTGGGCCAAACTCATACTGGATGTGTGATTGTAAAACTTCATTGTGTAAAGATTTTCAAATATGACTTTTAAAAAATAAATTGTCATCCATTCAGTGAAGTCGTTGTATATATGCAAATCACATGTGCAATAAGGCCGAAGCATGTCTCTGGCACAAAGTATTAAAATACAGGTACGTACTTGTGTGAGGGTTTTTTTGTTACCTTATGTAGCCTGAAGGCCCAACTCTTCTACCACAGATATATTACCCACATTTATATTTATATACAACACAAACAGCTGATTCTTACCGTCATGATGCAGAGAAGAAGTTGTTGTCCTCAGTCTTTTTTCCTTCACAAGTTCTGTTTCCGAGTGTGGATCCAGTTTTATAAAAAGCTTTATAGGTTTCCTCCGGTGCGTTTACATACCTGAACTCCTGTTGGGCCACAGATACCAGGGATGCCTGCTCCTCCCTCTCTCTCTTTCTCTGAGATGCAGTCTGAATAGGCCTGAAGGGGCGTGTGTGACCTCCCCGCAAAGTCACAACACAGAAGAAACACTTAATGGGTAGATTCTTTCATGGGTGGCAAAGTAAACGCACAAGTAAATACACAAAACATACATAAACAGGCAGAGAGGAGACTGAGATATGTCGACGCTGCCAATCACTCTTTAGTGCTCTCACACGCACACACACACACAAAGGTATCAGGACTTTGCACTGACATCCATTCATTGTGGCCAGCCTAACCAAAACCGAATGTCCCCAGTGAGGACCGGTCACACTAACATGCACTTGACACCAACCTTGAAGCTAAACTAACTCAAACCTGACCCAAAAACAAATCTGAGCACCTTTTGGGTTTCCCTTTGGAGTATTAGCCTGAAGTCTGTGTGTGTGTGTGAAACTCGTTCAGCGGGCTGGGTGAGTGTTATGTCTGTGGCTGCCTTCATGTCATGGCCATGAGTCAGAGCAGCGTGTTGACTGACGGCTGAATATTTGACTCTGGATCTGAGTGATGATTAGTATTTTGTATTTCTAGTTATTTGTCTGTATTTGCTTTTTTCTGTTGTAAGAGCTTAAGAATGTGTCAAGCTCATGATATTCATTGTCCATCATCCATCCATTCATTCATCTAATATCCATCATCCATCCATCCATTCATCTAATATCCATCATCCATCCATCCATCCATTCATCTAATATCCAACATCCATCTGTCCATTCATTTAATATCCATCATCCATTCATCTGTCCATTCTTCTAATATCCATCCATCCATTCATCTATCCATCCTACTCATCCATTAATTCAACCATCCATCTATCTAATATCCATCCATCTCAAATCAATCCATCCATTCTCACTTATACTTTGAAGGTTGGATCCTCTATCATCCTTTTTTTATTACAATTATTATTATTAATATTATTATCATCCTGTTTTATTCGTGTTGATGTTATTCTCACTCATCAGGAACAACCCCAGCTCCATATAACAGAGTTTGAAATAAGAGGAATGAAGTTATAATAAAGTAGAAGATGTTCCGGGAGGTGAAGAACAGTCTCTGCTCTCCCCAGTGCGCGCTCCCCACATCACACTGAACCTCGTGACCGTGCACCAAAGCCCCCTCGTGCACGGGCTTTAGAGGCGGGATGACGTACAGCCTCCTCCACCAATCACAGCCCGGCGCTCATTATCACCCTCCAATCGCCGAGTGCGGCTGCAGCGGAGAAAAACGAGTGAAGGCGGACATTGCCGAGGCTGCGAGGCTCTGGAGTGTGCGGAGTGGAGCTGATATTTGACACGGAAGCAACACGAAAGTACTTTTATTTCTTTAACTCTGTTGTTTCAGCGGCGCAGACATGACGCGACTGAAGATGCTCCACATCACCGGGATGTTGCTGATGCTGATAATATCACAAAGTGTCGCCATTTTCAGGTAAATAATCACAAAATCAGCTGCTTCATTAGTGCAGTGTGTGTGTATGTGTGTGTGTGGGGGTTATTTAACTTCCTCATCCACCTCCTCACCGTTATAATGACCTCCACGTGTTTCCAAACGATGCTCAGAGATCTCCACCAACAACTGCCTTTCAAAACCAACACAACCACATTGTACAAAAAAACACAGAGCTGACAGTGAAACTTCTGTTTGGTCAACATGTCACAAACTTGTGCCACAAGCTGATGACATGACTGCAAAGGGTACTTCTGTGATGAGTCAATCAAATATCGCTCCACCAGCACATTCATCACCGGACCACACTCACCACACTCACATTTCGAACAGGAGTCATTTCAGCCACAGTTTATAGGATTTAAGATCCATTTCATTTCACATATTGGTTCCGTGTGACTCCAGACCATGATCACATGGCGTCAGCACAAACGAAACAGTGGCACATGGCACGGCTGAACAAATGTTACCTAACATAACATTACCTAACTAAGGAAGGATGTTCTACTTAGGACAAGCACCCAGTCGTAACTTTCAGCTTTTCTGATTGTTATAAAAGAATGACCGACCTTTGGGATTGTATTGTACTCTTGGTTTCCACACAGCAGGGCCGGGTTGCTGTGTTGGTGTGTGTTTGTCATTTCAGGTGTAGGTGAGACTATTTCATGAAGGCTGATTGGAGCAACAGTTTGAAGGTTTATTAGATGCTCACACTGTGAGACCAGGTTTTACTTCCCTGTGCAAAGTATTGACCTGCAGTATCCACTCTGCTGCAGGCTAAACAACACCTACACCACAAACTACACCACAGTTTGTTCACTAACGAGTGTGCATGGAGGAAGTAGCTGTTTAACTGTTTGTCTCCAGGGTTCCCCTTAAGAAAACCAGAAGCCTGCGCCGCCTGATGTCGGACAACGGGATGTCTCTGCAGGAGCTGCAGGCTTTGGGTTTGAGCACCGGCGCCCCTGACGGCTCCCCCTCCCCGAAACTGCCTGTGGAGAGGCTGACCAACTTCATGGACGTATGCAACTCCTTCTGAACACATGACACAGGATCAACTCCCCTCTCGTTACTGATAACTTTTGAAATGCTAACAAACATGAACATGTAAAACAATATTTCATAAAAATGCAGAGGAGTAGAAAGTACATATATTTGTTGATAATATTTAGTGGAGTAAAAGGGAAAAGTACTCAAATAAATCTACTTAAGCAAAATACATTTCCATGAAGAATGTATCTGTACAACAACAACCTTTGTTACGTTCCGCCCCTGACTGAGTGCTGCACTCTATTGTGTCAAACGTACATTCACCTCTGTCGCAGGAAATAGTCCCTTTTCATGCACATGTGAAACACCCACATTCATTCAGGTGTGCTGTTGTATTTAATTGTTACCGTGTAAGCTGGCACACCTTGACGTACCCGACAGCATTGTCAGCTACACCTTTGCATTCCTGATTGAGTCTGCTGTGGAAATAGAGGATGTTTAACAGCATGTGATGTTGCTACACACCCTCAGGCTCAGTACTACGGGGAGATCAGCATCGGCACCCCCCCACAGCCCTTCACTGTGCTGTTTGACACCGGCTCCTCCAACCTGTGGATCCCCTCCATCCACTGCAGCTTCTTCGATTTGGCCTGCTGTGAGTATGTCTCGTTCAGCGTACTGTGTACTGTGTACTGTGTACTGTGTACTGTGTATGGTCTGTATGTGTACTGCACAAGTCACATCCACACATGCATTCATACAGCTCTACTACACGCAGCCCCTCCTCTATCACACACCATGAATGTAAACTGAGAAAACCGCCCCAGGCACGATGACGCACTAGGCAGCTGCCTATGTTGCCTATAATAATAGTAATAATAATTTGTGTAGCACTTGTCAAAATAGTTCCAAAGTGCTTCACATAATAAAATCAAGTGGAGCACATAGTTCATGTAAAAACAAACAAATGTGAATAATGGAATCAAGATAAAAACACGTGTGAAGACATCATGGAAGATGAAACCTGAAAATGAAAAACAAGAGATCTATCTAATCTATAAAGTCTTCCTGTAAAGCAGGTTTGTAGGATTTTAGGATCCACACAGAAACAACTCGATTTGAGTTTGCTTTGTTTCTTGGTTAAGCTTCTTTACATAACTCTCACTCTTTACGTGTCATCATCCCTGCATCAAGGTAACAACAGTGCATTGTAATGTGACAGATGTTCAAACACATCTGGATCAACTCTCCTCTCTTATCAGGGCTCCATCATCGTTACTACTCCAAGAAGTCAAGCACGTATGTAAAGAACGGCACCGAGTTCTCCATCCAGTACGGCAGAGGCAGCTTGTCTGGCTTCATCAGCGAGGACACTGTCTCTGTGAGCTCCAAACTCCCACTCTCTCACTACGCTCTTTGTTAACGGCATTCCTCAGTTTTGGTGGTCACGCCGTTCCCATCATTTCATTACGAGACTCGATTTTTTTAATCAGCACTGACATTCCTCTGCTTCCTTTTCCTCCCCATGTAGATCGCTGGTCTGTCTGTTCCCGGTCAACAGTTTGCTGAAGCCGTGAAGCAGCCGGGCATCACGTTTGCTGTTGCTCGGTTCGATGGGGTCTTGGGAATGGGCTACCCGTCCATATCGGTAGATAAAGTCACCCCGGTGTTTGACTCTGCCATGGCTGCCAAGCTGCTGCCCGAGAACATCTTCTCATTCTACATAAGCAGGTAGTTTTCTGAGACAAGACGCCTGAATAAAATAAATTGAATGATGTTCAAGCAGCTGTAGTGGTTTAACTGTAGACTTGTGCTACATCCACACTATGTTTTTGTTTGAAAACACATCAACTGTGCTGAAGATGACGTCTCCCGTCCACACTCCATTAAAACCGAGAAGTTTGGAAACTCTGCCGTCACCTTCGCTGATTCGTCAGGCTCCTGTCATGACCCCCTGTCTGAAGTGAACAAACTTATAATCTTTTTTTTTTTTTTGCTGTGCTTCTGTGTCTCAGAGATAAAACAGCAGCAGTGGGAGGAGAGCTGGTCCTGGGTGGGACAGATCCTCAGTACTACAGTGGAGACCTGCACTATGTTAACGTCACACGCAAGGCCTTCTGGCAGATTAAGATGGACGGGTGAGAAACACTCATGTGGTTTCCTGTGTTATGAGGAACTGTGACCTTTTCTGGGTCGAAGCACTTTCTTTTCTGCTTTGTCATTTTCATCTGAATGCGTGGGTCGGTCTTAGGTGCATCAGCTAAACTGAGGTCATCTCTCTCTCTGTCTCTGTCTCCACCCTGCAGAGTTGAAGTTGGCGCTCAGCTGACGCTCTGCAAAGCCGGTTGCCAGGCGATCGTTGACACGGGAACATCCCTGCTTGTGGGTCCCAGAGAGGAAATCCGAGCGCTGCAGAAAGCCATCGGCGCCCTGCCCTTGATAATGGGAGAGGTAAAACTGGGGAAAATACAAAGCCATTGAATTTTGATTTTCTTCCTTTTGGTTTGGAAAGATAACGTAAGCACATCCTGTCTTTTTCTCCTTCGTAGTATTTTATCGACTGCAGGAAGATTCCATCTCTCCCCGTCGTGTCCTTCAACATTGGAGGGAAGATGTTCAACTTGACTGGAGAAGATTATATCATGAAGGTAGATTTACTAACAACAGATGAAATTCACTTTCATTTTGTCACCTCCAGTTATTATCAACCACTAGATAGTGTATCGATGGATATGCATTCAAATAGTCCCCTGAGGCAGAGCGCCACAGACGGGGTGAGGAGGTCAGTATTTAATACCCCGAGGTGAGATTTTGTGGGTTCGTCCACCTGGGACCAGTATCACAATACTGGTCCACAGTGGTTTATGGATCTGCGTTATACTGGCAGGTTTCAAACATCATGGAAGTAGACAGAGGTTGACAAAACATTGTATCTACATGGGCAGAAGCTCCCTGATATTAGGTTTCTGCACAGAGTGGGAAATCTTTGACAACAGGCACCTTTCATTCTTTATTTGCAGGAGTCCCAGATGGGTACATCCATCTGTCTGTCAGGTTTCATGGCCATGGATATCCCCCCTCCTGCAGGGCCCCTGTGGATCCTGGGAGACATTTTCATCGGGAAGTACTACACGGTGTTCGACAGGAACGTTGATCGCGTAGGGTTTGCTCCTGCCAAGTAGATATAGAGCGACGCATGAAGGCTGGTCGTTAGTCGGGGTTATTTGACTTTAAAAATGAGTTTAAAAGTTTTGCTTGTCACATAAATGTCTTGTATCTGCTTAGAAACACGAGGTTAACAAGACAAACTGGTTGTTATGAGTAAAGAGGCAACGTTAATGAACATTTCAACTTATTTTGCATGGAGCACAAACGTGTTCTGCCAATGAACAAAGGGACTGCTTCAGTTTCTTGCACTGATATTTGAGCGTTAATGTTTTTATGGCAGGATTCAATCAGAGCTATGCATTGTTTTGTTTTTTTGCACTTTTTGCTTTTTGTAACTCTTCCAACTAGATTTCAAAATATAACCGGGAGCTGTTTTTGTACACTGAATATATCTCGGGATGTTTCTTATTAACACGCCAATGTGAATTTTATGACCAAATCTCACTGAATAAAACATAATAATCAATCATGACCATACAGACTTGTCATTTATAACATTTAATGAAGTAGTATACAAAGTGCTGCACAGTTCAACTCTAGAACTGAACCCAAAGAAACGCTGGAAAGAAGTACACAGCATGCAACAGCGTATGGCTAGTATGTACTCCACAAGGTAGAGGTAGTCGTCTACTTTGGGTTTTTTATTTGTTTTACAATAACATTACACATGTGGCACAGTGACTCCCCTCACATAAGTACAGTAGTAATTTGTAGCATAAACTAGGTCTGCAGAGGAAGACGCTTAATATGCACACAAAGAAGAGCTACTGTGGATTCATGATATATCCGTACATCCAGAACAAAGCATGGAACCAAGCACAAGTGATACATGTAGAATTGAATCAGTGCTAATAAATAATGTTTTTGGTTAGAAATGTACAATGGATATAAAAATATTCACCTATTCCCCCATTATTAAGTATTTTAACTGAATGCACAACAGAACTATTAACAACCCAAATCCCTCCACTTTATACAAACTGAGGGATCCAGGGACAATTGCTCCATATCGCTGCATTTATATTTGATGTATTCTAAGGCTAAGAGTGAGAACAAAAAGCAGCCGTGTGATTATTTTGAGCACTAATGTAGAGAGCAAAGCGATAAACTCCACATGTCCCTGGGGCAGAACTTTGTGTTCACTCCACCCGCTGTCTCCTGCAGGGAAGAACCGGGCTAATCCAACATCAGAAACCTTGGCTCCGAGAGTTTGTTATATAACTGATCTGTGAGTTGGTCCTCGATCAGATGATATTCGAGATTAGCACCTATAACTATTCACATCGACCTGATGGAGAGAAGCAGTCTGGGGATAATCAGAGGTGGATACAGCTGCTGTGCATCATGTGTTGTAGCTACAGCAGACAAACAGTACTTGTGCTTTTTTTTTTAGCCGTGTGAAACAGCCTCGTACTGCACTAATCCACGTCTGGCTACCTACTGCAACACGTGGGGCCAGGTCAGTATACACACAAGACTTAATCAGGGTTTAATGTGCACAGGTATGAGCACAAACACAGGCTCTCCAGATACAGTCAATACTGAGGCAAATTGACCAAATGACAAACACACAAACTCTTCTCCTGCAGGCTGACGACAGCAGTGTGTTAACGGTCAAGAGTGTGCAACACTGAAAGGTCTAAATCATCTCCACCAAAGACGATCTGAACTGAAAATCAATTAAAGCAAAAACCAGTTGACAACAGCACTTGAAACAACTCAGACCAACTCCAGAACAATTGGACAGTGCAAAATAACCTGTGATGGTGGCCATAAAAAATAATAAGCTAATAAAGCCTGAGACCTGTGCACCCAGGCAACAAATGTGAGACTGGGAGAGAAACCCAACTTTTCACCATGACAAACAAAGAGCAGCTCTGTTTTACAGTCACATGACGCCGACAACATGATGCTGATTTCTGTTCAATTTTCATGAATGAGCAACATGACCGGAAACTGTTTACTTCTTTCAGTGCTTATGTATCATTTGTGGAAGTAGATTCAGTTTTACATCAGATTATTGTTGAGTTAGAAATGTTAGAAATAGTCACGTATTCACCCGTTTGATTTCTATATAAGGAAGCAAACACATGCGAGCTGCAGACATTCAAAACAGCCTAATGTTTGTTTTCACTTATCCCTGGAAACACGTCGAGCATCAGTGTGGCCACTGTATTAATGAAGATGTTTCAGTGTTTAACACATCTGATGTCCAAAGGGGCACGAAACCTTTAACCCAAGAATGTTGAGTCCTTCAGGCTGATCGACACTTTATTAGCTTTTGGGATGTCATACACAATCAACATTATATTCTTCCCCTTGTCACAGTGGCACGGACCCATCAACACGATTACCACAGTGACTCTAACCAATAAAAAAAAAAAAAGTCAAATATGAGATTATTTCCTATGAATCAATCAATCCAGGGGTCAGTCCCTCCATCCCAGAGTGTGAGGCCCTGACAGCGTGCCTACTCTTTGCGTTATTAATACTTTGCTTTGCTGAGAGCCATGAACTCCAGAGACCCTTAATTTTTTTCTGAGATTAAAATATTTGGATGATCACACCACATGTGATCATTGGATGAATCACGTGTTCTCACAGGTGATGGAGAAGAGGGCTTTAAAACATTCAGAAATTAAAGAGAGTGTGGGTTTAAGGAGAAAGGTTGATTCCATGCAGATGGTTTTTCCAGGAAACTCTTTTTGGCTTGAGGTCACCATTGCCCACAAATTTGTACGGCTGACATTTGACAGTTGACTAGTGAGTCAGGGATAGGGTGGCTGTGCCACAGCAGTTCTCAGCAGGTCCTCAGGATCTGAGAGAGCACAGTAGAGAGTATACCCCATCTCATCCACTTCCTGTTCCGTCAGCTCACAGAATAAGTTAACTTTAGGGTTGAGGGCACACGGAAGCCTCCCGGCCTCTAGGTGTCCCACTAACGCTCGTAGCAGCTGGAGGAAGCGGTCGGCCAATGCTTCCATGGTCCAGTCGCCTTCTTTTTCACTCAACAACAAGATGGCGTTGGTGAGCTGGCTGGCGTTTAGACGGTTGAGTGCAGGGTTAAGCTTGCACATCGCCTTTGCCACCTTCAGGCAGGTGCATCGGCAGCCTCCATCCTCCTGATCCAGAGCCCTGAGCCGCGCTGTCTCTGGCACACGGAAGCTCTGCCGCCACAGGTTTTCATGGCGCTCTGCAGCAAGCCGATGTGGTTTAGCTATTAGTGAGGTTCCGTCTTCCATCACGAGTAAAGGTAAGAAGTCCACATAGAGCTTCCTGTCTGTCTCGTACTGTACCTCCAGGGTCAGTGTTTCTGACGGAACCACGGGACGGATGACATAGTCAAGCACACTTCCTATAGCTGGCCAGTTGATGGAGCCAGCCACAAGCTTGTCAAAGACCTCGAGGAGTGATTTAGGAGACAGGTAACCTCCAACCATGCAGCGGTCCCAGTAGCTGCTATTTCGTGGGAAATATTCCAAGTTCTCCCTGCGGACAAGCCAGAAACCTGGGACGTTCATGATGGTGTCCTCTCCAGGGATGAACGACCACAGGTTTTTCTCCAAGATCAGAGGCACCATAAGCTGGGCGTGGTCTGCTGTGACCACCTAGATGATGGAGGGAGGGCAAAAAAAAAAGGTTTTATAAAACTAACATGCTTGAAGAAGTTAAAACTAAAGATTAAAATGTTTGAAACCTCTTACCTGCAGGTCGTCATACAGACTTCCACTAAGGTACATTTCTCTGAGCGGCATGTCAGGCAGTTTGGCGTGAAGAAACACTCTGAGCTCTGCACAAATGTCCAGGGCCGCCCTCCTGGCCGTAGTCTGCTCCTCGGTGGGAATGTTCACATTATTCTGGTAGAACTCCCACAGATGTTCCTGCAGAGACAAGCGCATCCGGGCCCGCAGCAGATCGGACTGAGTGGCATCGCTGCCTCCCACAGCAGCTCGACCCACAGCCCTCCGCAGACAGTCTGAAGAGATCAGAGGCAATTCAAAGTTAAAAGATGCATTTGTTTAAAATACACAGCAGAATCTTGTGATCTTCCCTCTTACATCATTTCAGATAATAGCCACTTTGATACAGACAGCTATATTGACATTTTACCACTTTCGCTTATTTATACTGCACCTAACAAGTTGCAATAATGTCGTGATTTAAGAAAACATGACCGTTGATGTATAACATAGAAGCGTCTGATTTTGTCTCACCATATTGATTCTCCCCTCTACACAGGCATCAATTTAACCCTATGAGTACGCCGACTGATGACATAAAGATGGGACAATGACCCCCCACACACACATTCTGTGTTTGTACGTTTAATACAGACCGTCAAGGCAGAATAAGGGTGCAGCATTCACACTTTGAACTGGCTGTGTAAAAGCTGCTGATGACCTTTAAAGGAGAGGCCAGGGGTAAAGATGCAATCTACAAAGACTAAATTACCTGAGGTATTATTAAAGCATCAGTTTCAACTACCATATATCAAACTAATATAGAACAGCCGGGTGACTAACTACAGTAGAACAGAGAGCCATCACCCACTGTAAAGGAAAAGCAAGAATCGTCCCAATAGGCTGTCTGTAAACAAATAAAAAAAATGAATCTTAAATGAAAGCCGACTGAAGTCGAAACCACGAAACTGGCTACTCACTGACAATTCAACAATGAAGAGGAATCGACTTTGTTTTCCTCACCTGGTTCAAAAGCATGTGACGTAGTGGGCAGAGACTGTAGTGACCTGCTAACCGTGGACTTCATGCCATGGTTCAGTACCCGTGGTGACGAACCCATCCAGGCTGGCTCTTCCCAGCTTCTCTTTCCTGTCTGCTCCATCTTGGTGGGGCTGGTGGGAGCACTTATGGCACGGTCATACATCTGTACAACAAAGAAATGTGTCCACGTTGTTCATATTGGCATGGATGCTTAAGTAAGAGGGGGGTTTTCCCACCATCACACATGGGACTGTGGGGAATGGAAACAAAATAGAGATAAATGTTGCCTGACTTACTCTTTTGACAGCGAGTGTTGCAATGCCAAGCATTGCGGCTCCTCCCACCCCAAGCACAAGCTTAGCATTGGAAAGCATAAAATCAATGGCTGTGCCAATCCCGTTGTCATCTTTCTTCCCTTTACGGTCTCCATTCACCCCCGCCATCCTGCCAGTGAAAAGAGCATAAGGGTTAGAGACTGGATAGGGACAGAAAAGGCATCATATGTTGGGCAAACATCTAAAATATTACACACAGACTTTAGACTGCACCTCTCAATCAGCATGAGCATTGAGTGCAAGTTACCACACAGACCACAATTTACTCTTTATCTGGGATCTCAGAATCCTACTAACTAAAATCTTCTTCCATCCATCACACAGAAAGTCTCAGATCTAAAATGCTTCACGACTGTGACAGTATCTTGTTATTGTAAACCCACCTGGGAGATGAACCTCCAGACGACCTTTAAACCCACCCACGGATGACCTCTCACCCCTTCCACCTACATAAGCCCACCCAATCGGCTGCTGAGGAAGAACTGGCCCCTCTTCAGTGCGTCCTCCTTATCCTCGGGTACTGTCAGGGCCTGGCAGCGGCGAAACTCACGGGCCACAGCGCGGCGATAGTAGTTCCGGTCGGTGTGCTGAAGGTGACGGCCTGCGCGGAGCAGCGCCCGGTACAGCTCCAGCACAGCACTGCGAGACCAGCCGCCCATTAGGCACCACACATGGAGAGGGGGGACACCCTGGCACCTGGGCAGAGGAACACAGAGGCTTAACAAGCGTGTGGAAATAAACACATCATGTGTATGTAGAAAATATCAGAGCAGTCACACGGGCAAAACATCAGTATCTTGTCATTGTGCTGGTTTGAGGGTAGTGACTGGTGGGAGGAGAATGAATGATTGTGGGGTTGAGAGGGCAAACAATAGTGTTGCTAAAGAGACATTTATCTTTTTCCCCTGTTAATAAGTTTATTTGCTATTGTTGAGGGTTAAGGACAGAGGATGCCACACCTTGTTAAACTCAGACAAACTGTGATTTGTGAATATGGGCTGTACGAGTAACACTTGATTATTGATTGATTGATTAGTTGGAAGCCAAAGATAAAGCTATGTGCCTTTATAACCTCATCATGGATTCCAGTATTCATTCTTCTACAATCTTTATCCTCCAGCTCATCCACAGAGCTATACATATTTTTGATAAGGGACTAAAAATGGAAACAAATGTACATTCACCATCTTTATGTCAGAGAGAGAAAACAAACCTCTCCTTCATCAGTTTAAGTATCTTGAGCACAAATGTTTACAGGCAGCTTCTCTGCAGTGCAGTGTCAGCTGACGTTAGCTAGCAGGGAAATGTGGCCGCTTATCCATCGTGGTTTCTCTTTTCTCGACGATATAAAAAAAATCACTGTTGTGTGAACATGAGCACCACGGAGTAGACACCACCACAAAGATGCTGACGTCCCCCCCTTTAGTGTCTTCAGAGAAACACTCCATGTCTCCACGGGGAAAGTCACACATCTCATGACTGACTCGTTAGCTTAGCGCGCTAACGAGCTAGCTGCAGGCGCTGACCTTTAGGAAGCTTCACTGACAGAACACGAAGAGACGCGGGGAACGGAAACAAACACACGAGTACACACAGCGGAGGACACGAGAGGAAAACCTACGTTTCAGAAATGAAGAGCAGTGTTGTGTCTTCAGGAGAAGCTCTGCCGGAGCCGGGGTCAGGAGAGACAGCGACACCGGAAACGAATGGTCCACTACTCACATACTACTTCCGGGGTGCTGTTTAATTATGGCAGTTATATTAATGATGTTGTGATTATTGATCCTCTGACGTGTTTATTCATTAGACCTAATATGTGCATGTTATTGTTCTGATTCATATTTACAATGTTTGTATTTATACAT